GCGCTAACCTGGGCGGGGGATTAAGAGGCGGGGGACCAGCGCGTAAATGCGGAATCAGGATGGCCCCGGGACGCCCCGCTCTCCCACGAAAAGTCATCATTTGAGCCGCGCCGATCAAGCACACCATAAGGGCCGGGTCACAGGCTCTGAGGCCGGCGTGGCGGCCAACGGCAGAGTCTACGCTTCGGAGGCACCACTCCACCCCTCGCCTGATAGAGAAACGAATACAGCTGATTGGCTTTGCACCTAGCAACACGCGCATGGCTCCACCATGAGACAAGAGCGTATTAAAGGGGGAGGGGGGGGGCATGTAAAGTTGCCTACACATAGGGGTTTTGTAGGTCAAATTGCCTACATTTAGGCGGCTATCTAGTGGACCACAGTAGAGGGAAAAGGGGGGGGGACGCACCTGCCATGAGAGAGAGTACACCACTATGTCGCTAGTGACACAAAGAGGTTGTTGCGCTTGTCGCACAGGGGCGTATTGCGTACGGTGACCATGGAAAGGCGACGCACGGCCTGCGTACCTAAAGCGCCGTTTTACTTTCACGCGGCCGTCGTTTTATGGGCTTTAGTCAGAAAAGAAAAACGATTTTGCAAGGCACGGTGTTACCATAATTTAATCAACTTCTTATAAACCGTACGATTTGCAAAATTGAAGCAGGCACCCTATATATACATACAACAGAAACATGTCTTTTGCTCCCATATTTAAAGACATATATGGGGGAAAGAAAACAAAAAGGAGCGTTGGAGTAGAGGCAAAGGACGAGTGGAACTGTACAAAACGAGGGAGTGTACACTCTAACCTAACGCTAAACAATATCAATGGACATCTTAGCGGGACAATTTGTCAGGCTTGAAACTGCGAATAATTTTTAATTTACATCAAGCATCTCCTCAAAATGCAGCAAAATAAACATAGGCAAAAATGAAAACGAAGTGAAAATGCATCACAAACGAATCCACGTGCAGGGGACGTCAGGAGTTGGGTGGTAGGACCTTTGCCAATCGGTGTTGTCAGTGTGGTCCTCCGGAGAGGGGCACATGTCAGGGTCATGCGAGTAGAGGCCCATCCTCACCACCTCATCCCACTGAACTTCCTGGTGGCAGCCGACCACGCATGTCTCGCAATTCTGGGGAACGCACTTGTCATCAGAGTTGCACCACAGCTGGATATGCAGCTTGGGGTTGGCCGTGAGCGTCGCTTTGACCGCGGCCCCGTGTATCCAGGCATGGCGGCATTGTCCGAGCATCACAACCTCCAGCAGCGTCAGTGCTGGGGCCGTGGCGGGGTTGATGCTCTTGAGCATCTCGTCGACGGGCTCAGCGTCCAGGTCGAGGTGGCGTAGAGCGGGCAGCGAGGGCAGCCGACGGAGCAGCGGCCGCACGACATGGACACCCAGGAGGGCCAGGCGCTCTAGGTGGGGCCTCACGGACGAGAGGAGCGCCTCGACCAACACCGTGCAGTCGTCGGTAGGAGAAAGGTATTTGCACCGCAGACTGTGGAGTCGATCCATGGTGCCCAACAGTTCAGCCGTCGTCGCCGTCTCAACGAAACCGAGACCTGCGTCTATAACGAGGTTGACCTCCTCCAACGTTGCCGCGTGCCCGGCCAGTATGGTGTGAACGAAGGATGCCGAGTTATTGTTGACCGAGCACTGGAAATACGTGAGCGAAGGCATGGGCGGCCCGTGTTGAATGTAGTGGGTAAACTTTGGTAGGTAGCCAGTGACTTCGAGGGACTTCAGGCCAGAACACGACGCAACCGTCCGCAGCAATGCGTCGGTTGCAGGCGCCGGTCGAAAGGTCGGCAACTCAAGCTGAAGCCTTCTGAGGCGCCCGAGGGATTCCTGGTTGCGCAAGGCTAGGGCAAAAGCCAGGGCCAGGGTGTCGACTGTGACGTTATGCGGAGATCCAGTAGACAACGAAAACAACTTCAAGGTTGCTACGGCGCACCGGGTCGTAGTCACTGCTAGGTCCCATCCGCCGACGTCCAGAGTGTCGAGGCACGGGGCCAGCCGCAGCACCGCGCTCGCGTCGAAATCGCCGTCGCAGAGCGATCGGTGCCGCCAGACGTCCCGGTCCAGGACCAGGACGCAGAGCCTCCTGCACACGAGGCGGCAGGCGAGGAGGTCCTCCACGTCCAGGAACTGCATCACCGCCACGAGCACGTCGTCCGGAAGCTGGTCCATGGCCAACCAAGAATCGGGAGTAGTTTCACGACAGGCGTACAGTGCGTTCTAGAAAAGGTGCGGTACCCGCTAGTTAGTGGAGCAGCTCTAACCACACGGAACACTACTCCGTCCGAGGGGTAGATAACTCCCCTGCCAAATGTACACCTCCAATTCTGCCCAATTCAAACTAATTCAGACCAATTCAATCTAATTCAAACTAATTCAAAAGTAATTCAACTAATTCAGTCCAATTCAAGCCAATTTACATTCAATTCAAGTCAATTCAAGCCAATTCTCACTAATTCAGTAGAATAAAATCACAATAATTCAAACCAATTCAAAAACAATTCAACCAATTCAGTCCAATTCAAATTAAATTCAAGCCAATTCAAGCTAATTCAAATTCAATTTTTGAAATTTGTACACCCAATTCAAGAGTTATCCACCCCTCGACTCCGTCTGTTTGCAGAGACGACTGGCCTACCTTTGCGGCAAATGTGATGGGTTGATACTCGTGCGGGGCCCGGACTTGACCTTCTGACCCGAAAGCACACTGCGAGTGGTGGAGTATTACCGAGGTTCCGTGTCTCCCATAAGCTCCGCTGGCGCTCCTCTGTCTGCGGCGGAATGATCAGAGTCAGACAGGAATTTAGGCATTATGTTGGTTGGTGCACGGGAGATCAGGAAGAACAAGCCAGAACATCACTAGCCCGGAGCAAGGCGTCACCAAAAATCGCCCGGTCTGCCAACCCTGCACTCACGGTGTAGAGAGATAGGTAAAGGAGGATAGATAAAGGAGGAGGAGGAGATCCACGGCCCTGTGGGCCAGCATAGGCGACCCGTGTCCCCGCTAAATAGACGGTTCCCGCTGTGCCCATTTCAAGAAGAATTAAAGAAATCGTCACCGGAAACAGTTCTGAAATTACAGTAAAAACTAGTGCAAACGAACCTTCACAGTTACATGGACTTTCTCGAGGTCATCTAAGTGAAACTGTTTAGTTAAATAAGAAAAATAAGCGGGTTCCCATTGATATGGGTACTCGGTCTAGAGCGAGGTACCTGTTTTTTGAGTACTTACGCCCTGGCTCCTGAGAGGGGTGGGGAGGGCGGGTCGGACCATGTCCGATAGGAAGTACATACCATAGGTAGCCACCACAGGAAGGGGCGCGGTCGGCGGCGGCAGCGCCACCGCACAGCGGGCCCGGGAGCGTACCGGTCGTGATGCCCGCCAAAACACCCAAAAAACTTTGAGCGCGGGTTGCGCCGGGTTCCCTTCATCGCACAGGCCCCGGGTTTTTTCCATGAGTATCAGCATGACATAAACTT